CAGATTCAGGAAGTGTCATACCCTAGAACTGGAATTCTGGGTAGTTGTGAACTACAATGTAGGAGCTGGGAACCAAACCCAGATCCTCTGTGAGAGCAACAAATGTTCTTAAATGCCGAGTGATCTTCCAAACCCACTTTACTTTCAAGTATGAGGGGTTTCTCATGCATGTCTGTTTTTTTCACTATGTTCATGCAGGGTCCAAGAAGACCACAAGAAGGCATGAGATCATCAGGAACTGGAGTTACAATTGAAGTTGCCATGTTGATGCTGAAAACTGAACCCTGGATCTCTACAAGAGCAACAAATGCTCTTAACTGTTGAGCCACCTCTCCAGCCCCCTTATTTTTCATTATGTGCATGTATGGTGTGTGTGTTATGTGCACATGAGATGAGGACATGGGATCTCCTGAATCTAGAGTTAGAAGCAGTTGTCAGCCACCTGTGGATGGCTACTGGGAACTGAACTGCAGGCATCTTCAGAAACAGCACCCTAGCTGGGTGGTGGTTGGTGGCGCACGCCTTTAATCCCAAAATTCGGGAGGCAAAGGCAGGCGGATCTCTGTGAATTCGAGGCCAGTCTGGTCTACAGAAATTCCAGAACAGGCTCCATAGCTACAGAAAATTCCTGTCTCGAAAAACAAAACAAAACAAAAAAAAGAAAGAACAGCACCCTAAGCTGTATCTGCAGCCCCTGCCCTGTGCACGTGGAGGTCATAGTTTGACATTAAGCATTCCCCGCTCTTCTATTTTGGAATAGGATCTTTTAGAGCCTGGAACTGGTGAATTCAGCTAGAACAGCTGCTGACTAACCCTGCCAGAACTGGTTACACATGCTCACCACCATGCTCGGGCTTATACTGGGGTCCTCCATCTCTCCAGGCGCCAATCCACCCACCCCCAGCCATCTTAAAAAGGAAGCCAATATTCCACAGCTGTTTCCCTATTTCTTCAACTTTACTACATTCTAGACCTTTTTTTATTTATTTATTTATTTTTTTTTGCTTTTTCGAGACAGGGTTTCTCTGTGGCTTTGGAGCCTGTTCTGGAACTAGCTCTATAGACCAGACTGGTCTCGAACTCACAGAGATCCACCTGCCTCTGCCTCCCGAGTGCTGTGATTAAAGGCGTGCGCCACCATTGCCCGGCCCATTCTAGATCTTTTAATTGCCCATTGGAACTTGGGGATCTACGCCCTAAAGCACGAATGCAGGCCACACTATTTTGCAGGCATAACTGGGGGGTCCTGGGAACTGCATTTTGGGGGAATAGTGTTTATTTTTGACAGAGCCTCATTTAGTCAGCTTGTGTAGCTGAGGGCCTTATCTTTAACACCCCTGCCTCTAACTCTGAAGTGCTGGGATTGCAGGACCTGCCACACCAGTTTATTAGGGACAAAGAGCTCTTTTACATGCCAGGGTCCTAGTCACATTGGTTTCCTTTTAGTGTGGTTTTGTTTACTTGAGTCACAGTCTGTGTAGCTCAGGCTGACCCTTCTTACTACATATCCCAGGCTGGCCTGGAACACCCAATCCTCCCGCTCCAGCCTCTTGGATTTGGGGAGGGATTATGGCCATGCACTGCCACACTGTGCTGAACTATCTGAGTAGGGAGTCCAGTGAGGAGGCCGGCGCAATGGACACTCTGGAAAGCAGCTGCCGGGAGGTGGTACAGGAGTTCTGCTGAGGCAGTTGAGAGAGATGATGACAGAGGGAAAACCTTAGCTATAAAAAGAAAAAGAATAAAATCAGAGCACTAAAGCCCACCCACTTAGGGTGGTGGCCTTTAATCCCAGCACTTGGGAGGCAGGAGGATCTCTGTGAGTGTGAGGCCAGCCTCATCTATAGAGCGAGTTCCAGGACAGGTTCCAAAGCTACAAAGAAATCCTGTCTAGAAAAACCAAAACAAAACAAAATACCTCACTCTTTTGCTTTATTGGCTGGAGGAATGAGATGATATTTGTTGTTTGTTTGCTGTTTTTTTGAGACAGCCTTGGCTATCCAGGAACTTGCTCTGTAGACCAGGTTGGCATTGAACTCAGAGATCCACCTGTCTATGCCTCAGGAGTCCTGGGATTAAAGGCTTGTGTCACCACCACAGCCCAGCATGAGATGCTATCTGTGTAACTCAAGGGGACACACTTTCAGGAACTAGGTAGCATCAACTGACAACATTATTTAAGGAGCATGACTCAATCCCAGGTCCTGAATACATGGGGTGATAGTGGGCACATGGTGTTGCAGACTTTATTAGGACCCCAAGAACCTTATTCACAAAGGAGTTGGCTGGATATTATATGGAAACTATACAAAAAATTAAAAAATAAAGAATAGGATTAGGGATTTGATTCAAAGGGCACAGTGCTGGTCTAGGAGGCCCAGCAGCATATGAACCAGCTGTAGTACTGCACATCTGTCATTCCAGCACGTGGGAGATAGAGGCGAGGCCAGGCGATGGTAGAGATGCAAGGTCTCCTGAAGACTAACGAGCTTGAGGCCAGCCTGGGCTATGAGAACCTCGCAAAAAAAAAAAAAAAACCCAAAAAACTAAAATTATAGTTGGAGCCGGGCAGTAGTAGTGCCTTTAACTGAGGCAGGCAGTTCTCTGTGATCTACAAAGCAGGACAGTCAGAGGTGTTCCACAGAGAAACCCTGTCTTGAAAAACAAAATAAATAGATAAAATGGTGTGTTGGGGAGTGGTGGTATACGCCTTTAGCCCCAGCACTTGTAAGGCAGAGGGAGGTGGATCTCTGAGTTCGAGCCCAGCCTGGATTATAGAGCAAATTCTAAGACAGCCAGGACTACATAGAGAAACCCTGTCTTGAATGTAAAAAACGTAAAATGGTGTCTGGTGGATAGCACATGCCTTCAGTCCCAGCACTGGGAAGGCAGAGGCAGACGTCTCTGTGAGCTCAAGACCAACCTTGGCCTACATTGAGAGCACTAGGCCAGATGGGGCTAGTTAGACCCTGTCTCAAGAAGAAAAGCAAACAGCTAGTGGCACAGGGACTAGAACAAAGGTGAGGGACAGAGTTAGGTCAGGCAGGCTTTGCCTTGGGCGTGGTCTCCACAAGCCTGTTAAGGGATGTTTGAACACTGTGTGAAGAGGTATTGCTGTGACTGGTTTAATAAAGAGCTGAACAGCCAATAGCTAGGTATGAGGTATAGGCGGGGCTTCCAGGCAGAGAGAGGAAGCAGGAGGAGATAATCAAGATGCAGAGAAAAAGCCAATGAGATATGGAGGAAGTCAGACGTACAGAATAAAGAACGGTAAAAAAAACCCACATAGTAAAACATAGAATAACAGAAATGGGTTAATTTGTTATAAGAGCTAGTTAGGAACAAGCCTAAGCTATAGGCAGAGCTTTCAATATAAGTCTCCATGTCAGAACTTGAGAGCTGGCTAGCAGAACAGAGAAAGACACGTTGCACATGCATGGTGTGAACATCTACTCAGTTACACCTATTATCAGCAGGAGCACTGAGAGCTACGCAGAACCAAGCCTGTGCCCACCGGATGAAGCGTAGAGCGGAAAAGCAAGCTGCCACTCCATTTTGGTGACCTTGGCTCTCCTGGCAACCAGGGAAGAATAACAGTGATGGTGGGGGAGCACACGAGGCAGAGGCTGCGACATCCTGACCTCAAGAAGGAGCCCCCAGACTGGTGGTGGAGGAGCACACCTAAGAGGCAGAGGCAGGCAGATCTCTGAGTTCAAAACCAGCTTGGTTTAGAGAGCAAGTTCCAGGACAGCTAAGGCTACATAGAAAAACCCTATCTGGGCTGGAGAGATGGCTCAGTGGTTAAGAGCACTGCCTGCTCTTCCAAAGGTCCTGAGTTCAATTCCCAGCAACCACATGGTGGCTCACAGCCATCTGTAATGAGATCTGGTGCCCTCTTCTGGCCTGCAGGAATGCATACAGACAGAACACTGTATACTTAATAAATAAATAAATCTTAAAAAAAAAAAAGAAGAAAAACCCTATCTTTAAAAATAACATAAAAAGGAAAGGAAAGAAATAGGAGCTGGAGAGATGGCTCCTCAGGAGTTAAGATCACTGACTGCTCTTTCAGATTCCCAACACCCACATGGACGCTCACGAGGTCCATGACTCCAGTTCGAAGGGCTCCAACACCCTAACACAGAATATATGAAAGCAAAAAACCCAAAACAAGCCAGGCAGTGGTGGTGCACGCCTTTAATCTCAGCACTCAGGAGGCAGAGACAGGTGAATCTCCATGAGTTCGAGGCCAGCCTGGTCTACAAGAGCTAGTGCCAGGATAGGCTCCAAAGCTACACAGAGAAACCCTGTCTCAAAAAACCAAACCAAACCAAACCAAACCAAACAAAAAAACAAATACCAACAACACTAACAAAAAACTCAATGCATATAAAATTTTTAAAAATAAAAAATAAATAAAATTTAAAAAGTAAAAGAAGAAAACAAAGAAAGATGGTGCACACCTTCTTTAATCCCAGCACTTGGGAAGCAGAGGCAGGTGGATCTCTGTGAGTTCAAGACCAGCTCGGTCTACAGAGTGAGTCGCAAGAAAGCAGGGCTACACAGAGAAACCTTAAGAATTTAACTTTAAGAGTTAAAAAAAAAAAAAAAAGGTGGGCTGTGTCCGGTGGTTCCCCGGTATCCCACTGACCTATGGTTATTTTTTGTTTTGTTTTTATTGAGAAAGGGTCTTACTCAGTACCCCTGGCTGGCCATGAAAACCAAGTTGGCCTTGAACTTGCAGCTACCCAACAACTAATCCTTTCTTGAGCTAGGATTGTGCTGAGAGCCACCAGACTCAGACTCAAGCCCTTGGGGCCACCTCCCCGACCTTGCCTGGCTCAGCCTTTCTCTGGGACCCCACACAGACCCCATCAATGGACCCGCCGCCACTCCCTGTTACTTCTTCCTGAGAAGTGGGACCTCCAACTACAGTGAAGCTTGGGACCAGGAAGAAGACAGACAGGCCACCTCCCCAAGAAGACACCAGATCTCAGATGAAAACAAAAAGCAGCAACAAAATCTTTTTACAAAAACAATCCTTCAGAACCCCCACGCTCCAGTGTCCTCCCCAGCACCCAGGTCATGTGAGTGTGATTCCCACAGAGGCCAGTGCTTCAACAGCCCAGGCAGGACAGAGGCTGTGGTCCCCATACATGGTGTGCATGAAGTTTCGTACGAAGTCAGGAAAGCGCTGCTCCAAGATGCTGCTTCGCATGGCGCTCAGGAGCTGCAGCTGCGGGAGGGGGCGGGCATTAGTATCTCTTAGGTGTAGGCCACCAGTAGTTCAGGAGTACTCACAAGGCACCAGATGTGCCAAGAGCCCCCCAATCATAAACCCAAGGCAGAACAGGTCATGCTTGAGGGTTCTGCCCATGCCACACCCTCTAGATGAAGCATACCCCCAAGGTCCTTATAGCCCAAACTCATTATACCCCCAAAGAGGGAACTTGTGCCACTGACCCACACCACACCCTCAAATGAAAAGGAGCCATATTAGGCCCCCATCTCAACTTCAACCTACCTTGTCCTCAGAGCCAATGCCCCTCCTTTCTTTGTTCCAGTGCCCACCCTACCCTGTCCCGACCCCCGGTCCCCAGGCCACCTGATAGGCAATGTTGTGCACAGTGAGGTAGTGCAGAGCTGCGGTGTTGTCGCTGTGCAGCAGGGCATGCAGGAAGGCGCGGCTGTGCCTGTGGGTCACAGAATTCGTGGCTACAGGTAGCCTGAGCCCCGCCCCCTCCAGTCCCCAACTTCCAAGACCTACTTCTGGCAGGTGGGACAAGGACACTCCGAGTTTATGGGACTGAAATCCTTGGCGTACTGCTGTTTCTTCAACTGCAGGTTCCCAGTGGGTACAAGGGCAGAGCCAAAGCGCTGGAGGCAAGGAAGGTCAAGATCATGAATGGCACGGGCTCCCAGTCCCTCCAGTCCCCCTGCCCAGGCCGGGCCTCACCGCTGTCCGCGTGGGGTATACACAGTCGAACATGTCACATCCAAGAGCCACGCAAACTACCAAATCAGTGGCATAGCTGGGGTGCAGCCATGGAAGGGTAAGGAAGGGAGAGTGAGCCTCAAGAGGGGTTCCCAGGCCTCCCTTCACCCCCACCTACATCTCAGATGACAGCCAAGTCTTCTCTCTTATCTATTTTTGTACTGAGACTGTGTTTTATGTAGCCCAGGCTTGCCTCTTACTCCATACATAACTGAGGATACCCCAGAACATTGTTAGCATCAGGCAGTTGCCGACCTGACCACTCATTAGTTCCCCAGTAATGCTATACTCTTCTTTCCAGAAGAATCTGCCCCCCACAGCAGGGCTTGGGGCTCTGTCTCCTTCACCCCAACATACCCAACCCCCATCAGGTATCTTGGCTTGTCCTTAGGCAGCATGGAAGTACTTAAAGCCACCATCTTCCAGAACTGCGCCTTGCTCTCTCCCCCACTCAGTCCTCCGATGGCGAAGCCCGGGACATCCCTCTTGGTCATCTCTGAAAGAACACATAGCCCCAGTTTAGGAGGAGTTAGGATTTTGTGGTGTTACCAAAGGTCAGAGTGTACTCTAGTCACCATGCTGGATTTCCCTCAGAGGAACTTCCACTAATTTACCACAAAACTATAAAACAAAGCCTTGAGCCAGTTGTTTGGATACACCCTGGAATCCCAGCCACTCAGGAGGCCGTGGCCAAAGGATCAAGAGCCTGGGCTACACAGTGAGTCCCAGAACAACCTGAGTTACATAAAGAAGGAAGAGAAACCTGGGTGGTGGTGCTGCACGCCTTTAATCCCAGCACCTGGGAGGCAGAGGCAGGTAAATTCGAGGTGAACCCTGATGGAGGAAGGTCATTGGCTAATAAAGGAACTGCCCTGGCCCATTTTATTGGTTAGGACATAGGTAGGAGGAGTAAACAGATCAGAACGCTGGGAGGAAGAGGAAGTGAGCTCAGAGACTCCACAGCTCCTCCTGGGAGCAGACGCCTCAGAGAGAGACGCCATGCCCCGCTCCCGGGATGAAGCTCCGACCCAGGATGGACATAGGCTAGAATCTTCCTGGTAAGTGCACCTTGGGGTGCCATACACAGATGATTAGAAATGGGTTAAATTAACATGTGAGAATTAGCCTAGAAGAGAATGGGCCAAGCAGTGATTAAAAGAATACAGTGTCTGTGTAATTATTTTGGGGCATAAGCTAGCCGAGCAGGCAGCCGGGGTGCTGGGAACGCAGCCCCGCTGCCCTTATTACTTCATATGGCGCCCACGTGGACAACTGCTTCCACATAAAGCCTGAGACAGCTTGGGAAGTAATTCTAGAACAAAATGAAAGCATTGTGCCTGGTTTCTTGGTAGCAGCAATTTCTCGGTTCTACTCTGCTTGCTAGAGGCAAGCAAGCGCCTCATCTAAGAGAGGCTTCCTGACTCAGCTTTAGCTGCAAAGCCTGAAGCTCATTAAGAGGTCCTGGCATGAAACACTTAAACGGTGTTGACGAAAAGCTGAACACATGCTTTTCGGTTTTCAGCCATAGCAGGAAAAAAGCTGCGCCGTTTAAAAATGCCGGCTTTCTGGGCCATCCTGCCAGGGCAAACTCTGACTGTTTAAGGCAGGAGGGCCGGCTACCTAGAGAGGACTTGAGTGTTGTCTGTTGTAGCTCACTTGCTGGCAGGGACCTTGAAATGCCATACAGTTGTTGCAGTAAACATGGCTACAGCCTGTATATCCTCCATGAGGCTGGAAAGCTAAGGAATGGACTGGATCTAGCCGGCAAAGCCACGCCTTTAATCCTACTGATATTGCTTGGTAAATTACTTGGTTAAAAAAAAAAAAAGACTCATGTGGTCAGAAAAAGAGAGATATACAGTAAAGAGAGATTCAAAGACAAGGAAAATTTTTAAATGGTTTACAGCGTGTTAAAAATATATGCAGACTAAAAGTTGAAGTTCTTAAAGTAAAAAACAAAAAAAGGAAGAGAGTTGTTGTGTGTGGTAGCACACGCCTTTAATCCCAGTGCCTAGAAGGCAGAGACAAACAGATCTCTGTGAGTTCAAGGTGTAGTAGCAAACACCTTTAATCCCACTGCCTGAGAGGCAGAGACAGGCGGATCTCTGAGAGTTCAAAGACAGCCTGGTCTACAGAGTTACTTCAGGTCAAAGATACAGAGAACCTGTCTCAAAAAGCAAAAAGTTAAAAGTAAAAATAAATGAAATAGAGGTTAAAACAAAGGTGTACAAAGATGGAAAATAAACAGAGAATTTTGATACTGTATGCTATTATGCTCTCTTTGAATTATTTGAATGCTGAGGAAGGAGCAACAGCTGCTAAAAGATATTTGTTTATAAATGCTGCTGAACTAATCCAACATAGATATTTTGAATTTGTATCTAAGGATATGATACTTTGGAAAAGAGTTTCTTATTTTGTTTTCACAGAGGATGAGACGCTGTTCATTTCTTCTATTCCGATTTGGTATGATGGACCACGTCCTCCTGAATGGTTCCTGTGCACGCCTTCAAAAAATTGCTTCGCTCAACTGCCAACTGAGATGAAACTAGCACACAGGTTATACCGTGAAAGACCTAATTAACGACGCCCCCATTCAGCAGGAAGCAGTTTGGAGAGAAATAACTGCGCCCATGTTCCCAAATATGGTTTATAAACGTTCTTTTACATTTAAAGGGGGATATGATATAGATATGAATAATTTACATTAGTATAGCTTTTGCTTTATTGATAGAGATTTAAGGTCAATTTTGTTATATGTATAAGTGTTTCTGATTTTGATTAAGGTATTGTGATTGTGTAGTTCATTTAAATATGTACTGTATAATTAAGAAATATAGGTTGCTAATGGATAATCATTGATAATAGTAAAGCTTGTAGTCATGTTAGTTAGATTTTCTAGATATATAGAGATATATTTTAGATAGACATTCTTCATGTCTTTCAAAGATTACAGAATAGGACATTTAATGTTTTAATAACTGAGGACTTTTCATGACAATGAGACACTGCTCCTGGCAGCACCAATGTACTTCAAGAGGAAGATGGGCCTCGAAGAGGCACCTTATGGAGTTTGATAGCCATTTGGGCAAGAAACTGCTCTTGCCTGGACTACTGCATAAACTGGACACAGAGAACCCGCAGAGAGAGGACTACTGAACTTGCCTAAGGTGAGATCTTTCGGGGTTCCTGATTCATGAAAGAGTCTGCGAGACATTCTGCAGGACACAACAGATAGTGACTGAACTGACTTTGAATTTTCCTGCTTTATGGAAATGTCTGCTGGATACCATGGGCCTGAAGGCTGAAGATGGATGCCCCAACGGTACAGAGGAACTTTGGGTGACTGTCCAGGCAGCGAGATGTCTCTGTCATTTCCAGAGTTTTAAAAGTTGCTTTTTTCTTGTTTGCTTAGGTAGTATTGTATCTTTCTGGAGTCTTTGATGGAGTTAAGAATAGTTAGTTATAGTTTTCCTTAGTTATGATAAAGATTATTGTAACTTTTACTTGATAACTGTTTTGTTATACGTAATTTTGCTATGTTAAAGCCTTTTTTTTTTGTTTAAACCGAAAAAGGGGAAATGATGGAGGAAGGTCATTGGCTAATAAAGGAACTGCCCTGGCCCATTTTATTGGTTAGGACATAGGTAGGAGGAGTAAACAGATCAGAACGCTGGGAGGAAGAGGAAGTGAGCTCAGAGACTCCACAGCTCCTCCTGGGAGCAGACGCCTCAGAGAGAGACGCCATGCCCCGCTCCCGGGATGAAGCTCCGACCCAGGATGGACATAGGCTAGAATCTTCCTGGTAAGTGCACCTTGGGGTGCCATACACAGATGATTAGAAATGGGTTAAATTAACATGTGAGAATTAGCCTAGAAGAGAATGGGCCAAGCAGTGATTAAAAGAATACAGTGTCTGTGTAATTATTTTGGGGCATAAGCTAGCCGAGCAGGCAGCCGGGGTGCTGGGAACGCAGCCCCGCTGCCCTTATTACTTCAGAACCCAATCTACAGAGCGAGTTCCAGGGCAGCAGGGCAGGCAGAACTGTTACACAGAGCAACCCTGTCTTGAAAAACAAAACAAAAAAAGAGGAAGGGAGAGGGTAGGGAGATGGCGGCCCAAGAGGACAAGAGCCCTGGCTGTTCTCTCAAGAGGACCAGGGCCAGATCTCAGCATCCACATGGCTCACAGCCATCTGCAGTTCCAGTTCCAGAAGACCCAACACCCTCTTCTGGCCTTCCTGAGTCCTGCATACATGTGGTATACATACATACAGAAAAATATCCATACACAGAAAATAACTTTCTCCAGGCATGGTGACCCTGTCTAAAAAATTAAATGATTAATTTCAAAAATTATAAGAAGCAAAGATTAGAGATAGGAAGAAAGAAAGGGGGGCAGGGAATGTTGTAACAGTTTCACAACCTCAAGGACTAGGATGCTCAGTAGTTTAGATGTAGTAAACCCATTTTGGGCAGGGGTGTAGCTCAGTGGTAGTGTTCACCTAGCAGGGGCAAGGCACTTCGTCCAATCACCAGCAAACATCCACACAAAACAAATCCCATTTCCAATAACAGTCTTTCCAACTCTAATGAGGGTGACCATCTGAAAGCCCCCAGGAAAGACCCTGCCCCAGACACATCCCAAAAGGAAGGGAGGGACAGAGGCAAAGGCTCCTGCTGGGGACCTACGCTGCCACTGACGAGTGCCCACTGGCTGAACGCAAGGCTCATTTGTATTACGTTTATTTGTGTATTCATGAGACGTGAATGCATCACACAGTGCTCAGGGTACAACTTGCAGAATCCATGAGTTCCAGGGATCAGACCAAGGTTGTGAGTATTGGCAGCAAGCTTCTCCAGCCACTCAGCCAGCTCATCGACCCAATGCTTTCTACTCTGATCATCAGAACAGGCCCATGGCCCACAGTTCACACAGGAGAAAGCCAAATGTTCTCCTGAATTTACCGTTTTCTAGAAACAAGGTTCCAAATCCAGAGAACGAATGCACCCCTGGGATCCCAGCACTCGAGAAGCAGGAGAATCAGGAATTCAAGGCCACTCTGAACTACAGGAGAACTAGTCCCAAAAAGTGGGGCAGGCTGTGACTACGTAGTGGGCTTGAGTATTACGCATCAAGTCCTGGGTTCAACTCAGCAACAAATCGTCTGAGTTTGGTGGTGCATGCCCGTGATCTCAGCATTCAGAAGTGGAGGCAGGAGGATAAGTACAAGACCGTCCTCTGCTACATAGTGAGGTCCTGGCCAGCCTGGGCTACATGGAAGCCTGTCATAAGTTGATGCAGTATTTCAACAAAATATTGAAAAGGGCTCAGCGGGCAAAGGCACTTGAGTTCCATCCCCAGAATCCACATGGTGGCGAGAACCGGATGGGGGATAAACAAAGACTCAACTTGGGACCAGTATTTGCCTCCATTACTTCCATTTTCCAGACCGGCCCTACTACACACTGCCTCTGGGCGTTTGACCCATGTATCTTGCACTTGCAGCATCCTTTGCCAGTTAACAGCGATGGCCAAAGCATCGTCCTTTGCCTGGACCTGGACCACCTCTACCAGTACCCCATTCTACCTTTCAGGCAAGTGGTCCGAAGGTCGGCATTCAGTCCCCCCTGGATGATAGCAAAGAGGTTCTGCTTGTCCCGGTGCTGATGGGCTGCAATGCATCTGTCCAGCCAGCGCACTGACCTGCAAGAGGGTCCCGGGCGGGTCACAGAACCTCCAGTGGCTAGGGAGATGTAAGAGAAGCACACGATCCAAATCCTTCTCCCACGCACGCACAACCCACACATACACAGACCTGTGCATGGCCTCCTCCACTCTAGGGCCTGTCACTGTGCTGCTCACCACATCGTCCAGCTGCATGATGATGTCAGAGCCTGGGGTGAGAGGGCACTCTGGTGAGGGGCAGGGAGAACAGAGGACCCTTGCAGGGACCACCACCTACTACTTGTCATCATTGTAATATGGCTGCACAGAAGCTGGGAAACTTTTTGGATTTTTGGTTTTTTTTAAATATATATCTATATATATCTATATCTCTATCTATCAATCAATCCATATATATGTATATATACATATATATATGTGTGTATATATACATATACATATATGTGTATATATATGTATATATGTATGTATGTATATATATATAGCCTATGGGCCAGTGAGATGGCTCCACAGTAAATGTGCTTTCTTCCAGGTCTAACTGCCCAAGTTCAACCCACAGGACCCACATGGTGGAAAGAGGAGACTGACCCCTACAAATTATCACCATGGATCCCAGACTGTTCTCCAACTCCCAATCCCCCTGCCGCTACCTGCACTCCACCCAGTTTTACACGGAACTATTGAAAGTACGCTCTGGACCCTGGGGCCATAGCTCAGTAGGTGTACTGATTGTCTAGCACACAAAAAGACACAGGTCCCATCCCCAGCACTGCATAAAGTAGGTGTGGTGGTGGTTCAGGCCTGTGATCCAGGCATTCAGAAGGTGGAGGCGGAAGAATCAGGAGCCTGAGGCTGGGGACTAGAGGGTTGGCTGCTCTTTCAGAGAACCTGCATCCTGAGCTTCAGTGCAGCCAGCAGAGCATAGGGAGAACCTGTGTCTAAAATCAAGAACTAGGACCATGCCTAGTGGTAGAGCCCCTGCCTAGAATCCCTTGATGATGGGCTAAAACCTGGAAGAGGAAATAAACTTTTCCTCCCCGAGTTGCTTTTGGTCATGATGTCACCACAGCAACAGAAAGCAAAATAGGATACCACACCAGGAGAACAGCCTTGTCCTAAGATCAGTAGACGGACCCAAAGAAACACCTGTCACACAGCTGGGCAGGCTCCACTTAGCATAACAGGTACAGTTTCCATAAGAAGGCTCTGGGACAGAGACTGGGATGGACAAGGGAGAGGAGCTGGAGCTCACGTGTCAAGGCTCCAGCATCACGCAAAATGTAAACAATATAAATTGTCCTGGACTGTAGATCCAGCTCAGGCAGCAGAGTGCTCATCATATAGCGTGCAAAGAGCCCTGCCTGGCTCTGAGCCCCGGCTCTGAAGAAAACTGGGCATGGTGGCGTTTGGCTGTGGATATGGAGGGAGATTTCAAAGTCAAATTCAATTAAAGAGGAAGTGAGTTCCAGGCCAGCCAGGACTACATAGGACTCTGTCTCAAAAATAAGACAGAAAAAAAAAAAAACCCAACTATATATATGGAAAAAAAGAGGCCTAAAGCAATCACTATCTCATGTTGTTGCCACCATTATTTCATTAAATTCAATTTGTTACTAAAAACAGTAACAGTTGTGTTTGGTGGCAACTGTCTTCAATCCCAGCACTCCAGAGGCAGAAACAGGCATATCTCTATGTTGGAGGCTAGCCTGGTCTACCATTCTACATAACATATTCCAGGCCAGTCAAGGCTACATAGTGAGACCCTGTACAAAATAATAATAAAAAAGTAATAACAACATATATAGATATTGTGGGAGCCAACCATAATAAGCTAAGTATGGGCAGGTCACCCAAAGGAAGTTCTTTACTTCCAACCCTTATCCTGCCAGAGTAGAACTCTGATTTAATAAGAGGCCTGAGTCTCAGTAGTTTACCCTGAAGCAATGCCTGGTTGCAGGAGGAACCACAAGCTGAGATTACCTGACCTCCACCCAAGAACAGACCATTCAAAGGAAATGCCTAAGGTTCCAACCTCTGTAGATAGGATCACCTGCCAGAACACACTCACCAGAACACCCCTAGACAAATGTCAGCCAATCAGGGGTCCTAAAACCTCAGAAACCCCTCACCCCCACCTTTACTACTATAAAAACCTAAATCTAATTGAGCTCGGGGCACTCCAGTTATTCCAATACGTTGGACATGCGGAAAGACCAAGTTTGCAAACTTGATTAAAATAAAGGCTCTTTGCTTTTTACATATGGGACTCAGTCTCCTTGTTGGCTTTTGCTGGGACTTTGTGAATTTGGGCATAACAAATATAAAACAAAAGCAAATCAAAAAGGACAACTACATATCTAGTACTTTGTTTACACTACAGATATCACAAGTCAGAGACGGAAACAGGTTCTCACTGTGTAGCCCAGGCAGGGCTGGAACCCGCAACTGTCTTCCCGCTAAGCTGCCACCACATACATTTTTTCAAGTGTTTGTTTTGTTTTGGTCTGTTCGCTGTGCCAGGGACCTAGTTCAGGGCATCGGCAAACATGCCTAGCACAGGACCTATTTTTTATCCTTATTTTAGCTGGGTGAATGAGTTCAAATTTATTTTTTTTAAAGTATTTATTTACTTATAATGTATACAATATTCTGTCTGTGTGTATGCCTGCAGGCCAGAAGAGGGCACCAGACCCCACTACAGATGGTTGTGAGCCACCATGTGGTTGCTGGGAATTGAACTCAGGACCTTTGGAAGAACAGTCAGTGCTCTCAATCGCTGAGCCATCTCTCCAGCCCAAGAGTTCAAATTTATAGATTTCCCAAACCACCTGTGGGTCCGAGGCCCTGAGGCTACTAGCAAGGTGAAGAGGCAACACAGCAAGGTTTTCTTACCCAGAGCGTTCTGAATCTCCACAGACCTCTCTGGGCTCAAAAGTGTCTCTTGGCCATCGTAGGGCGAGCGGAAGCGGACGCCCTCCTCAGTCACCTCGGACAGGGAGAACAGGGACACCATCTGGAAGCCGCCGCTATCCTGGGAGAGAGACCACGCCGAGAAGCTGTCAGGAGATGGAGATTGGGGACCCTCTCACCACATCGCAGCACCCTAGGGCAGCGACTCCAACTCACTGTCAGCAGATTGTGAGGCCAATTCATGAAGCCGTGAAGACCCTGGGCTTTCTGGATCAGCTCCGGACCCTGGAATAGCAGAAGCAAGTGCCAAGTTAGGCGATAGCCCGCAGCTCTCGCCAGACCCGGGCGGAGCCCAGGCACGGTGCCCCCTCGCCGCCGCCCCCGGATCGAGTCCACCCACCGGCCTCAGCCCCAGATGGTAGGTGTTGCCCAAGCAGAGGCGGCAGCCCAGGCTCTCCAGCTGCTCCGCCGTGATCCCCTTCATGGTGGCCTGTGTTCCCACAGGCATGAACACAGGAGTGGCAACAGTTCCATGCGGCAGCCGCAGCTCGCCTGCCCGGGCTCTGGAATGACTGCACTCAGACACCAGCCGCATGATTCGTGGAGCAGACTCAAGCGAAGCGGGACTGCCTGCCGCCGCCATTTTCCGTCCCGGAACCACGTGGGATGAGGCCACCGTGGACAGCGCCATGTTGCCTCGCATCACGTGACCTGGGAAGCGCCTAAAACAACCTCGCCCAGGGGTGTATTACTTCCTGATGGCAAATTAAGATTACTGCTAAACCCGATGGCCTGAGGTAAATCTCTGAGACCCACAAAAATGGGAACTGATTCCTGCAAATTCGCGTGTGCAGACACATAATAAATGTAATTCTAAAACACTCCAAAACATGTTTTTTTTTTTCTACTGCTCGGGAGGCAGAGGCAGGTGGATCTCAGTGAGTTCAAGGCCAGCCTGGTCTACAAAGGGAGTTCCAGGACAGCCAGGACTTTTAGACAGAGAAACCCTGTCTCAGGGGTGGGGGTGTTCACCAGGAATTCCAAGATTTGAGAGGCTGAGCAAAAAGGATTGTGTGGAGTCAGAGAACAGACCCAACACTACACAGTGAGTTTCTGGCCAGGCTGGGTTACCTAGAGAAGCAAAACCCTGAGCTGGGCCTGTTGTTGCACACCTTTGGGTTCAGCAGCTAAGAGTACTTGTTGATCTTGCACAGCATGGGTTTACTTCCCAGCACACACAACCACCTGTAACTCCAGCTCCAGAGAATCTGATGCCCTCCTCTGACCAGGCAGGTAGGGAGTGGTGCACACACACACACACAACAACAACTTTACAATTTTAGGTAAAATAAAAGCTTCCTGTCTGGCATGCATAAGTCTGTGGGTTCTACCCCCAGCATACACACACATACACACAACACGGATAGACACAGCATGAGTGGCTATGGATATTTCTGTACATGTATTTCATACACATAGTCCTAACTAGCCTCTGTCATTCTGTGTTTATTCTTTTCATTCATATTTTTTTTGCTTGTTTTTTTAATTTCAAGACAGAATTTCTCTGTGTAGCCCTGGATGTCCTGAAACTCAGTAGTAGAGCAGGCTAGCCTCAAACTCACAGAGATGTGCCTGCCTCTACTTCTTGAGTGCTCGGATTAGAGGCACGGCTCATTGATTAATTCAAAGAGCTTACAGGAAGACCCAGCATACAGTCAAGAGCTTCATACACCAAGAGCTCCAGCCATATTTTCAAAGGAATCCTAGCATTACAAAAAAAAAAAAAAAAAACAAACCTAAAGCCCAGGGATTCATCCCCCACCATTACTTTATACCCACCGTGTGAAATGCGTAAGTGTGTGTGTGTGTGTATACTCATGTTTTCCCATGTCAGTCCTCTCCCTAAACAGGAATGTCCACATAAAGCTGATGTCACCTCCACCAGCAGAGGGCGCCATCGTCCCACATTCCCAATGAGCTGCTATGGGGCAGGACTACTTTCCCCAGTCTTCCCCCATGAAAAAGGCTAAAGAACAAGTTTCCAGGGGTTGTGGGGATGCGGTTAGTGAGAATGCCTCAGAACACCAAAGTCGAGGCATCACTCAGTGATACAGTACCTGCCCAGCATATTCAAGACCCTTGTGTTTGTGTAAGAGCAGAGGCTAAAGGATGCCCAATGTGCTCTATTACTGTCCAATTTGTTGGTTTTTTGTTATTTCGAGGCAGGGTTTCTGTAGCTTTGTAGCCTGTCCTGGAACTAGCTCTTGTAGACCAGGCTTCCCTTGAACTCACAGAAATCCACCTGCCTCTGCCTCCCGAGTGCTGGGATTAAAGGCGTGGACTAACACCTCCCAGCTTACTCTCCACTTTAATCACTTGGGACAGTCTCTCACTGAACTTGAAGCTAGGCAGCAAGCCCCATTGATCCTCATGTCTACTATTCCCCTCCACACTCAAAGTGCTAGTGGTACAGGTCAGTCATTCTTAAAATTTTACATTAGTTATTTAGGTGGGTGAGTGTACACATACCCACACACTTGCCACAGCACCCTTGTGGAGGTCAGGAAAACTTTAAGAATCTGTTCTCTCGCCAGGCAGTGGTGGCGAAAGCCTTTAATCCCACCCAGCACTCGGGAGGCAGAGGCAGGCGGATCTCTGTGAGTTCAAGACTAGCCTGGTCTACAAGAGCTAGTTCCAGGACAGGCTCTAAAGCTACAGAGAAACCCTATCTCAAAATAAATAAATAAAAAATAAATAAAAATCTGTTCTCTCATCATACGGGTCCCAGGAAGTCAAATTCAGATTGTCGCCTTAATGCACTGATCCATCTCCCTAGAATCCATAGCGGCTACTTAAAATTGTTTGTTTTCAAGGCAGGGTCTCAACATACAGCCTTGGCTGGCCTGAAAAATCAATCTGTAGATCAGGCTGGCCTCAAATTTAAGAGAGATCCATCTGCCTCTTTCTACCACTGGGATGGTAGGATGGTGGGATGTGCACCACCACCCGGCTTAAAATTTTTATGTATATGCTTTACCTGAAAAGCATCTGTGCACTGAATACATGCTATGCCTATGAAGGGAGTGAGCCACCATGCGGATAACGGGACTAGAACCTGTTGAGCCATCGCTCCAGTCTTGTATTGGTTACTTTTTGAGACAAGATAAGCTCTCAGAAAGTTCATGCTGACCTCAAATTCACTACGTAGCCAAGGCAGAACCTCCTACTTTCACTTTTCCCCCCTTTGTCAAGAAAGGGTTTCTCCAGGTAGCCCTGCTGTCCTTGAACTCAGAGACCCACCTGCTTCCGGAGTGCTGGGATTAAAGGCATATGCCATCGCTGCCCAGCTCCTTTGCTTTTCTTGTTGCTGTAGTCAAATGCCTAGCCAGGTTAAGGCGACTAACTATGCCTGTCTTAGATGGTTTTGTAGTGCAGGCTGGCCTCAGGATTCTTAGGCTCAAGTAAGCTTATTCTTTAGCCCCACATGGTACAGAAGCACAGAAACAAGGAGTGAGCCTGGTGGAAGACCCAGCCTGAATGAAGACCTGAAGGTTGGTGCAGAGACTGGAGAAGAGAGTGCTCAAGGAAGCAGGGAGAACAAAGTGCCAGGAAGCCTGAGCAGTGATGTCAGACGGGGTGGTTGAACGGAGGCGATAGGGCAGAGGGAAGATGGCACTGCAGGAAGCTGTGAGACATTGGGGGAGAGATGCAGGCTTTGCCATGGGATAAGTGGACAAAGGAGAGTGGCAAAATATGACATCATCTATGGGAGGGCTGGGGATGCCCTGAGCCCTCCCCGTAACTGACATCATGGGGAACTCAGCTTCAGCACAAGGGACAGCGCCAGAACTGTTGCCTAGAGACTGGTGAAGCTGCTGCTCAAGAGGCGGGGCTGAGCAGCCAGGGGAAGGGACTCAGGGAGAAAACAGCTGAATTCCCAGTGTGGGAAAAGTCCAGGCATTACCTAGGCAATTCTGAGGGGGAGGGGGAGTTGGGTTGGAGGAGGTGTGTGCACACACCTCCCACGTACTTGCATTCTGTTTAGCCATAGATGACCGATGGTGTCAGACTGTCCTCACCCAGGATTCTTGTGGAACCCCCCAAAGTGGAATTAAGAGGCTGGCATGAGAAGGCAGGGGTTTAAAAATGACATGAACTAGATAGGATTATGGGTTCAGAGAAAAGCAGAGAACTTTCAGAAATGTAGAATTAAGGCTTCAGGACCAACAGTGAAATGATGATCCTAGAACCACCATGAATTCTAGTGGGTGCTGTTGAACTCCTAGACCTGGTAAGCTTGTTCAGCCAGCCAGGGTAGCGTTGTCCCATGAAAAACTACAATGCCTAGGTGCCAAAGTGGCTGGGAAAAGGTGGATTTCCTGGTGGGGAGAGGGGGTAGCAAGGTCTGGGTCAAGGAATGATAATCACCATAACTCAGGCAATTATGCCTCAAAGCAGAAAGGAGTCCTCGCTCCCACCTCAATCTCAGAACATTCCAGAACTTCAGCACCTCAGGACTTGCAATCCCTTTTCTTGTCTTCCCCCACAACTCAAAGGACGGAAGTGCAGCCATCCAGGTCTGCCCAGCTCAGAGTGATTCATCCACTCCATCGCCCTCAGGACAAGAGTTCAGGTGACCTCTGCCCATCAGCCACACTGCTCATCATTCCCTTTTGCATACACAGTGCTTCAATCCATGTACAAACCCAACTCTGTATTCCTGGACTGTTCCTCTGCCTGGCATACTCTTCCCTCACCCGTGAACATAACCCATCTTCTGGCTCCAACTCCCTTAGCCTGTCTTGTTTGAGATTTCCTTGACACTTGTTATCAAGCTGGGCTAAGCCAATGAGGCCTGGAAGCACAATGTCTATATCAGTAAATCACATAGTGAGAGCACACTACCCCAGTACTCAGAAGGAAGCCAGTCAGTGATGTAAGAGTTTCAAAAAATTCAAACTCACACATCAAGTCTCTGTTTATTCTGGGAAGAGTGCAAGGGAGCCCTGTACCTAAACCTCTGCTATGATTTATCTTGTTTCTGAGTCTCAGCAGGTCATGTGTACTCCCAGACTTGATCTCACACAGTGCCTGGACATTTAGCTGCAGAGGACAGAATCCATCAAATGGACAGTAAGTTGGTATATGAGACTGGCTGTCACAGTCCAGGGAGACATGCCAAGTCCCAGGGGCAGTGCTCAAGTATGTGGAAGGTCTCGGTCTGCAGCCCAGTTAAGAGACCAAATGTGGCCTTTTATCCCCTCCTCTGGAGTGGTTTGCACCTGGAGTTCAGGCCTATGCCTACACACCAAGTACCTTATCATCATCAGAGGAAAACCATGACTCCTGCTGAAACGCCTGATGACCACTGATAATAATGACATGAGACTACATCCAAAGCAACCTGGAGAACAGAGCCCAAGGAGTGTGTCCATCATAAAAGAACTCCTGTCTACTTACTACTGGGGAGGGGAGAGGCAGCAGCTCCCTGGGTTGGCTTCCTACGTCTGGAGGGCCAACTGCCAGGAAGGCCTCTCAGCAGTGCAGATGAAGAGCCAGCAGCAGGCTCCCAAAGTTCCTGACGCCAGCTTACTACATTGATGAGCTTGGATTTGTTGCTGGTTGAGTGTCTACTGGGACACTTCAGTGTGGTAGGAGGGTGCCATCACCCAGATGGTCGCTTAACGGTAAAGTCAGTTGGCTGAGGGTGCAATTGTTGTTCTGGTCTTCAGAGTATTTCTAGAGGACTCTTCCCTCAGCCTATTACCTCACCTAAGGGACCCTTGTGTCCCTTTCTTGCACCAGAGAGATCATCTCCCTAGCTGACTTCCTGCATTGAGGCAGGAGCCTGGAGCAGCACACAGATCTTCTTCTGAGTAACCTGTTACATGTGAAGCTAAGGGACACCAAACTCAGGCTGGCAGCAGTGTAGATGCTCGGAAGAGAGGAGGCTGACAAGGCGAGGAGGGGTGTGTTGATGGTGCTTGGGCTCCTCCCAACAGCGTGAATTGAAGTCTGGATGCTCTGTGTGGGCACAAGTGAGAAGGCCTTCCCTGGTAGAGGCATGTGCAGCATTCCAAGACTCTTTCAATGCAATCGGGACTTTGGGCAGCATCCCACCCTGTAGTCAGAACCTCACCTGGGGGCAAAGACCTCTGACAGTGACAACCACTACCCTCAGGAACTCAGGAAGTCCCAGCCCACTTTCACAGTAACTCCAGGCAGGGCTGAAGCTGGGGAAACTATTTACCTAGCTCTCCCTTGTGGTTTCCCGAGTTATACAGCCTAACAGGGACAGTCTGCCTGCCACAATGTGATATTACACTTAAAACTTCATCAAGGAGCTGGAGAGATGGTTCAGAGGTTAAGCAGACTGCCTGATCTTCCAGAGGTCCTGAGTTTAATTCCCAACAACCCATGGTGGTTCACAACTATCCATGAGATCTGGTGCCCTCTTCTGGAGAGCAGGCATACATGGAGGCATAATGTTGGATACATAAAAAACTAAATAAATCTTTAAAAACACAAAAGAAGACAAAAAACTTCAGGGACTGGAGAGCTAGTTCAGTGGTTAAGAGCAGTGCCTGCTCCTGCAGAGAACCTGGGTTCAGTTCCCTGTACTCACATGCCAGTTCACTCCAGGTTCCGACACCCTCACACAGACATACATACAGGCAATAAAAGAAAAAAGAAAAGAAAGAAATTTCATCAAGAAGCTGGTGTGGTGGCTCACACCTGTCATCTCAGTGCTCGGGAGGCTGGGGCGGGAGGGGTGCTGCAGGTCTGAAGTCAGCCAGGGCCACATACAGTGAATGATAACCAGGAGCAGAAACACCATCCAAAAGAGAAGAAAGCCTGCAGCTTGACTCTCCAGTAACTAAGGTCTTCGTGCCCTACTTCCCCGCTGCTTAGAGACACCCAGGCCTGAGACAAGCACAGTTTTGTTTCTTTATTTGTCTACATTCAGCGGAATTCAAATGTACTGCCTGAATGATCCAGACACACACACACACAAAAAAAAAAAACGCAAAACAAACAAACAAACAAATACCACTCTTTCCCACTGGTTTTTAAAATAAAATTTTCACTTATAAAACTGAAACACTAAAGCATTAAAATAAAGAAAGCTCATTTAACTCACTTCACAAAAAGCATTAACAGATGATGTATCCCTTCTGCAACTATTTAAGGACACCCGATGGAATTCACACCGGGCAAAAACAGACAGAGGGATACCGCACGGCAAGAACTCGAACACTACTCAGACAAGGTGTAATGGCAACTAACAAACCACTGAAGATACGGAGTCCCAAACACAGCTAAAGAGGGGTCACGGCACGGGTCCCAAGGACCACCACACCTCACAGCGTGGCAACGTCGGCAACGTGGACAGGTGGGAACTGCGCCAGTGGACATGGCAACTGGTGATGTGCAGACGCAATCTCCCGAGACGAGTTGGAGGCAGAGGTGCAGGAGGTGAGAAGGGGCAGTCTGGGCCTTTATCTGTACTGGTAGTTCATGCTGTGCTCTGTGTTCCGACTGTAGCCACCTTGTGAGGACTGGTAGGAGCTGGAAGGCCCACTGTAGCTCTGGCTGGACCCAGGGGAGCTGTAGTTCGACTGTGATGAGTAGCCTCCTGCAAGATGGAGCTAGCTTAGAGAACAGAGGTCCAGGCAACATTTCCACACTACTGTATCCCAGGGTAGGCAGTCCAGTGGGCTCCTGCTTTGACACACAGGCCTATCACTCACAGCTACCCTAAGATGAAAAACTTTGCCTCTAGGGGCTCATGTCAAGTGCTGACTGACCGACCAGAGATAGGGGTCCCACAGCTCAGTTCAGTCCCTGTGACACAAATCGCTCTTCAAGTCAGTGCCAACATTTAAGAGTTGGGCAACTTGAGGTCTCTGAGAAGACTGAGCAGTAGGTGTGGCCAGAGCCCAAGTCCAGCCCCCAAGGGAAACCAGCAGCAGTTGCCATATAGCCCCCCTCACAGTGACCCTGCTCCTGTCAAGTTCTGTGCCTCTAAAGCTCCGCCCCCACCTCCCGCCGGGCCACTTGCTCTCCAGGCCCACCTTGTTTGCCTTGGTATGAAGAGCTGCCCCCAGAACCTCCGCCGTAACCCCCATGTGAGCCTGTGTTGTAGGATGACCCACTGGAGCCATAGCTGTTCCCGCCACTGCGACCTCCACTACCACTGTAGTCTGAGGGGGAAAAAAAAATCAGTGTGATTAGGGCCTGGGTCCAAGGGCAGATAGGCGAGGAGCCTTGGTGGCAAGCCCTGTCACAGTCACCCACTCTGAAGTTCCCACCTGCCTCTTCTCCCCTGGGGCACAATGCTTTACTGTCCTCCACCCCCACAGCATATTAAGTCCCCAATTCTGATGGCTGTTATTCTGTCCTAAAGACAAACTTACACTTACTCACACCTACGGGGTGACAGAGCACACGAGGCGGACAGAGGTCAGTGCATGAGGCTGGCTCACTGAGGAGCTAGATCTAGCACAGCTCTTGAGAAGTTCCAGGAAGCAGCCTTGCAACTTTAATCCTGGTACCTAGCCACAGCATAGTGGCAGAGGCCTCAGCCATAGATGGGAGACAGGGAAGGGACCCAGGGTCATGTTTCCAGATTTCTCCCTACACTCAGTCTCCCAGAGTGCCTCACAATTAGTTTCTGGCTAGACCTGAGCTTTTAACCATCCCCAACCAGGAGGTGGACACTGGACGTCAACTCACTGAATTTGCTGTCGTAGCTGTAGTCGGAGCCCCCACCACCACCAGGGGAGTTGTAGGAGTTGGAGTAGGAGTAGCTGCCCTGCCCATGGCCATAGCCTTTCTGCTTGCCCTGTGGCGTGCCGTAGCTGCTGTACTGGCTCTGGTTGTAGGGTTGCTGCTGGCCCTGGTGGGACTGGTAGCCCGAACTGTAGGAGGGTTTCTGCTGGCCCCCATGCAGCGGCTTCTTCCCAGCATGCTTCGGGGGCACTGATGAGTTGTAGCTGTCTCCTTGGTAGTAGGAGCTGTAGCTGGATGAGCCACCACCGCCCCCGCTGCCTCCACCACCGGCATTCCCAGAATGCCCTCCATTGCTGTAGAACTGACCTAAACAGGGAAGCAGCAGATCAGGTGGAGGGTCCCAGGGTGAGGGCTGGGAGGGGAGAAAGGCAGCAGTTGTGGGCCCTGAAGGCTGGCCCACAGCTTACTGCTCAGAGCAGCGAGGAACAGATTGGAGCACGAGGCTCTGCTGGTCAAGGCAGCCTGGCTTAAGCCAGCCCAGCCTTCAGCTCCACTCACCCTCAGCTGATGACAAGGGGTCTTTGCCAAGCAGCAGCACGACAGCAGCTTTGCAGATGTCAACATTACAATGAGATGGGCTCCGAGCGTGGATGACATTCAGGACTAGCTGACGGCTACCCAGATGTCCCCAACGGTGACAGGAAAAGCAAAGCACCCAAAAGCAGTGAGCCACCCCCTTTCCCCTCCGTGCAGGAAATGAGCTCAACAGGCACAAATCTTGGGGACCCCAGGAGATGCCTTGCCACGAGGTCCCTAAAACCATCATGGTCCTCAAAGACCAAGTGCTCTTAAGACAGTGACTTGAGACTCGAGACACTTGCCCGGTCTCCTTCCTTGGTGTAAACAACACACAACTGAAGGCATAGAGTGTGTCCTTAGTCTCATGAGAAGGCAAGCACAGACTGAGGTTAATGTTTGAATCGGGACCTCAGTGGCAAGACTAATGAGCTAGCACTGTGGCTGCTACAGTCTCTAGCCCCCATTTTGGATCACTGGGTTTATCAATGTGTTCCCTATTGGAGATTTTGGATGGAGTGACGGGAACAGGGCAAGGCAAGGCAGGGCTTCAGCCTCCCTGCAGAAAGAAGTTCCCACCTCCAGGCTCAGGAGAAGACAGAACATTTCCCAGTGCTCAACAGGGGCCTTGGAGCTCCCAGAAGCCTGACTTCCCAGATTAAGTAGCCTCAGCATGCAGACCTTTAGCCCAGTAAACCTCGTCAGCCCCAGACAGGAAGAAGGGAAAAGAGATATTCCCACACAGCTTGCCCTTCCTCCCCAGGTTGAGAACTAAAGGCACTATGCCTTCCCTCTACCCACTGGTGGATATACACCCTGCCCCAACGCTGATGTTCCCCCCACTACTGGCACAAGCACTGGGAGAGGTAATTCCCCCGTGAAAGCCCTTCTGTAGACAGACCTCTCCCACCCCATCACAAAGCCACAACAATGCAGAGGAGGAAGTGTCCCACAATGCAAGAAAGCAAACACGTGGAGGCTCAGTGAGGATACTGGGAAGCCCAGGGCCAGATCACTCCCAACCCCAACCCCAGCACCTCCTCCAGGCCCCTGCTTTAGCTTCCCCAGGGTCCTATGCTGAGCAACTGAGCTGCCTGCTTGAAGCTGGGCATGAATGAAGACGCCAGTACGGAGGGCTCATTACTTTAACATGTATTCATTTAAAAAATAATAATAGTAATAAGGAAAGGGTAGGTTTTCAATGTCATTCAGAACTATTTCTTGGTATAAAAAGGCATTATTTGCAAACAATAACTTTCTAAAAAATAAAAATAAAATAAAATACATCATGCAAAGTCTTAGAAAGTTTCACTGACTTTTAAACCTTGGGGAACAAATCACACAATAACCATTTTGGCCATTTTTTGCCTGAATAAACGTCAAATCTTGCAAGTCAAAGCAGGGGCAGATCTGTAGCAAAGACTACAGAGCAGAGGCCTAACCACAGTATCACAAGGATTCCCACCTTGTACTTTATACACGGGGAGAAATTTCTAGATGCCAAGCAATGTAGACCCTGGTTGGGCCAAAGCTAGTTCTCTGTTAGAAAAAAAAAAAATTGAGGATGTGTGGGCCTCTTCCAGCTCAGTTTTAAAGGCCCACTGTGAAAAAGAAAAACTCAAACCCAATCCAGGGAGTCCATGCATTGACAGTTGTGATCAGGACTTGCAAAATTTCACGTTATTCTCCTTTCAAGCCTGTCTCATTTCTCACACAGGTAACGGAAGCGCAGTTTTGATGCCTTTGCGAGTTCACTCTTTTAACTTTTAAAGCAGCCACAGAACCGCTTCACCCCAATGATCCACCAGAGCATTTACAAAAGGTGGGAGGCCCTGCTCTCTGCAGTACACAAGTCCTGGCCATCCCAGAGGTTACATGCTCCTTAAAAGGGCAAGGAAAGTCAGCTGCTCTGGACCAGATATGCTGAAATGGTTTTCACACTGCCAAAGGCATCAATGAGATGTGAAAGTTGGTGAAAAGGTTAAAAATGCATACAAAACCTGCCGTAAATTAAGACAAAGGTAGATTAAAACGTGCCATTATCTGTCTCATTAAATAAAGGAATGCTTTCCATAAAAAGCAAAGATGGGTTTTGCCTTGACGCTGAACAACGCTGGCTCTAGAATTCTGAATTCTGTGCGAGGATGCACAAAAAAGAAAAAAAAAAAACAAGGAAGAAAAAAAAAGAAAGAAAAATATCTGAGAAAAAGGTTTTTTCCACTTAGTGTGAACTTCGAAATGACCAAGTTCAAAGGCAAATTCATGATAGAAACTGCCATTGTCTTAAGTCTGCAGGCTAACAGTTTCAGACAAGCTGCGGTGGAAAGCCACGGTTGAGAACCCCAGTGAAGCACAGGGACACAGCACGGACACTTTGGGTTTTGGAGTTGGAGGAAATTGGAGTAAAAAGTTGATTTTGTGTCAATACTTTTAGACGCTCTAGGAAGCCCCAAAATCATGATAGCCGTAGCAGTCTGTGAAAAAGTCACCTACAAAAGGGGGAGACAGAGCAGAGAGAAGAAATTAGAATTCTTTTGAAAAAGGGCACAGAGCGCCACATTTGAAATTCAGGTTTTAGATTTCTCTGCTCATGTAACCCCCCAATGAAGGCTCCTTCTCACGACAAAGAGCAGTGCACGGGCAGGAAGGCGCATTCTCAAAGACTGGTGCTTAAAGCAGAGAAATTTAAAAAGCCGACTTCAAAGGAACTTAAGCGGTATACAGAGTGTGTTAGCATTAAAACTGTCAAGGACACACTTTGGGGATAGGGACTTGAGGGCCAGCTAACCTAATCACCGCAAAAAGGTACGGCTGGTGGCCCTGAACCTCAGAGATGCTGAGGCCAGCACCCTACCCTAACTCAGACCCAGACTACGCTGCCGCAGCTTCCCAAGTGCAGACAGAAAGATCTCACACTTACTGTAGCCTGCTGTGGCCGAATTGCTGCCGTACCCATAGCTTCCATATCCAGCGCCTGCAAGAGAACAGACAGGTTCCAGAACAGATATTCACCCATCCTGCACCTTCCTCCCAAGGAAAGGTACACTAACATTCCTAAAGTATGCCAGTAGTGTCACAAAGGAGGAGGACCCTCACCAGCATTCATGTAGCCTCCTCCATGGTTGGCGCCACCAAATCCTCGCCCTCGTCCTCGCCCACGGATATTCCCTCCTCTGCCTCGGCCTCGAAGGTTGGGAGGTGGGGGTACCTCATTATGCATGGGGCCTCCCATGCCGAAGCCAGGATTGTGTGGCTGAAAGAGATTGCATAGGAGTGGGGTTCACCCCCCCCCTCAGATCAACCAAATTCCTACCCAAGGCCAGAGGGGTCAAAGTTGCATCCTCACCTTGGCAGCAAATTTAGGTCCACCTCGGACAGGTACGGGGGCTCTTTTCTTTTTGTTGGCTTCAAGGGCCAGGGGGGCATCAGGAAAAAGCTTTTCTAATGCAGCAAGAGCAGCATAAGCCTTTGCCACCTTTTTGTTTGAACCAGCACCTTGAAACTTCTGTCCATCCACTTCAACCTGTGGAAAAGACACTGTGTGGGAACTGAGCTAACCCAGTACCTCCCTCCTCTCATTGTAAGGGTCTAGCTTAAAACCTTTCTACAGAGGCCCAGGCCTCTCCCACAGCACTGATTTCCCAGGAAGCTTAGGGTTTCCTCTAGCCACCAAATTACTCACCTCCATAACAAATCGTTTGTCGTGGCTGCCCCCAGTCTCAGAAATGAGCTCATATTTGAGGCCACGCCTCTTCTCATTAAGCTCCATAACCGGGTTCTTGCCATGCTTAGTCAATATTGGCCCCTGCTGCTTGCCGTCCTCAGGGAAAGCACAAAGAAAACCCACTAAATTAGATTTGGACACTTCACTACCCAAAAGCCATAGCTACTGAGCCAAGCCCTCTCACTGGATCTGGACCAGCCTGTGTATGCCAGCTAACACGTCTCAGTGATACAACCAGCTCCACCCACGCTGTTCTGGCTTCCTGGGTACAGGTTCTGGGTTCCACAGCTCCCTTTGCAGGTCACTTAAGATCTGACAGGTGAGTCCAACCTTTTGACATTGCAAAACATTACTGTATACCAAGCTTACACACAAGGACCCGCAAGATGGCTCAGCTCAATGGGTAAAGATGCTTGCCGCCAAGCCTGATACACAAGTTCGGTCTCTAGAACCCACACAGTAAAAGCAGACTTCTACAAGTTATACTATGACCACTAAATATGTGCTGTGGGTTCTCATGCCCTTAAGCATGCACATGCACACAATAATGAATGTAATAAAAAAATAATAATAAAATGAAATTGCCATGGGGCTTATTATAGTAAAGGGGGAAAATGGTTCAGGGGCCAGAGTGATGCCTCAATGGTTAAAAGTACTGATGACTCTCTCAAGACATGGACTTGGTTCCCAGCATCCACATGGTGGCTCACAACCTTTGGTTTTTGCTTTGTTTTTCAAGACAGCGTTTCTTTGTGTAGCCCTGGCTGTCCTCAAACTCACAGAGATCCACTTGCCTCTGCCTCCTAAGTGTTGGGATTAAAAGCATGCACCACCATCAATCACCTGGCCTCAACCTTTCTAAACTCCAGTTTCAATGAACTGAATGCACTGCACACATGTGTTGCATAGACACAGAAAAAAGATACACAAACATAAATGATAAAATGGGGGGAAAAAACAAGTTCAAGTTTGAGAAACATTCACTCCAGTTACAAAAAGACCCAAAAACTGCAAAATAATCTCAGTTAGGTCACAGGTTGGACATCCCTGGCTCTGTCCTGCATACAAGGACTAGTGACTACCTGCTCTGTCCTGGCAATATCACCCACCATGCACACAACGTCATTCCCAGCACCCACCACAGGCTCACCTCAGTAGTGGCATCTGAAGGGAAGACAGAACTAGGGTTGGAGACAGCTTCTACCACAGGGGGCGGGGCCACTATTGTTGGCTTCCCATCTGACTCCTCAGCTGAGTCCTCCCCCTTGCTGGATTCTCTGCCTTCAGCTCCTGTTGGCAAGCCCATGTCTTGTAACACCTGTGGAGTAGACAGACAGACCCAGGGCTCAGATGACAGAAGGCTTTCAAGGAACCACCTACAAAGGCCCTCCCCATACTGCAGAGCTTTCTAGGATAACTTGCAGCACAATCTTAGCTACCTGCAAAGGTTTGCTTGTTTGTTTGGTTTTTTTTTTTTCCTTTTAGTTTCTCACGTTGCTTCTGAATATGTGACTTGTCAAACAATCAAAAATCTAACTCCCTGCATTTCTACAGTCTTTCTGAGATGTCAGTCTGCAAACGGAGGCCTAGCGGGAAGTACGTTTTCTGTTTTGCAAGGAGTATCCATCTACCCTACTTACCTTTACAGCCACATGTAGTTTGGCGGTCTTTTTAGATGGCCCTGAAGCCTCAAAGGTACTGCCATCTACCTCCACAGACATGGTGAATATGGGGGCATGAACAGGACCTGTCTGGGAGATCAGCTTGTATTGCAGCCCTGGCTTCAGCTGGTTCAGCCTCATCAGGGCATTCATAGCTTGGGGAGGTTCAGCCTTCTCCTCTAAGAAGAGAACAAGGCAAGACAGGATGAAACTTCCATAGCCCAGAAAAGCCAAAACTAAAGACGTCTACATGACTCTGTGGCACATGACCTGGCCTGAGCCTCTCCTGCAGCCAGTGGAGGTGCAACTTCCCATGGGACCCTATCACTGCACCTGTGCCAGTTACTAGTTTTGGGGGAAAGTGGGGTGATGAAAAGGGTTCTCTCTCACTCTTTATCTCAGCATAGACTTGAAGTCACAGCAGTTTTCTCACCTCATGGGCTTTGGGATTAGAGATGTGAGTCACAAGATCCAGACATTGGGCTTTTACAATAGTTAAATATCAAGGGCAGCCTGGTCTACATAGCCAGTTCAAGGACATCTAGAGCTACATGATAACAGAGAACAGGTCTCAACAAACCAACAAACAAATAAACAAATGGATGAATGAATAAATGAATATCAAAGGCTGAGAAGATGGCTAAGAGGCCAAAGAGCCTACTATGAATTGTCTGAGAGTTCAGATCCTGAGAGCTCACATTAAGCCACATGGAATGAAAAACATCTGTGATCTCCACACTCCCATGGCTAGACAGTAGGTGGAAGCAAAAGAATCTCCAGGAAGCCCAGGAGGCATCTAGCCTGGCCTGCCCAGCAGGAAACAACAAAGAGACCCTGTCTAAAACAAGGTGGAAGGCAAGGGCAGGCCAAGGTTGCCCTCCAGCCTCCACGAACACCATGCCACATGTACATTCACACCCACACAAACTCTTTTCAAACATATGGATTTAAAAAAAAAAGTAAAGTAAGGTTTTTAATATGATCTACCAGGAAAAAAAAAGACAAAGCAAAAGCAAAAAGCAAACTTATCACTTCCAGACGTACAGTGACTGAGCCAGACAGAGGAAAGGGGGCACAAGTCAGGGCATGTTCCTACCTTTCTTCTGAATCTTCTTTTTCTTTTTGCTGGGAGACTTCTCCTCCCCATCTTCTTCAATGGGGCGTTTCATGGGTGTGATGGCGTAGGTGGTACTGGGGGGGATTTGAACTGAAAAGAGACCAAGAAGAAGCACCTGAGATTATGCAGACAGCACTATGGAGAGAGCCCTGTCATCAATGTCCACATGTCCTTACCAGTGTAGTCCACTGGGTTCTCGTTCTTTGGTTTCTTGGGCATTTTGGAAGGCAGGGGGTCCATTCCTAGAACTTTATGGAGTTGACCGAAAGCAGCCAGCCGCAGAGCATGCTAGAGAAAGGAATAGGAATCTGACTCAGCTGCCTCATGCCACAGGTACCTATGTGTGCTCACTAATGCCTTCTGAGATGGGGTGGGAGCTGGGGGGCCTGCTAATAGTTTCCCCTAGGTCAGCAAGGGGTCCCCCGACAGCCAGGGCAGGGCTTGACAACTCTGGCCCAACCTTGCTGTGGGGGAGTGGCAGCCTGTGACCACCCCCCTCAAGATGAGTACAGGAGACCCCAACCTGGGGGCTGGCTGCCACATGGAGTCAGGTGGTGGACCTGTGGGGAAGAACCCCCAGAACAGTCCTCACAGCAAAGCTGTGGCTCACTGCCCTCGCTGTGCCAACACGGCAGTAGGGCAGGGCAAGAGACAGACAACCATCACATGTGGCACCAGAACAAAGAAGCAGTCCAGATTGGGGCTCCCTGTATCAGACACCGTGCCTTTGCCTTGGTCCCCAACCTGAGCCTATGTTCCAGGGGCTGCCCTTCAAATGCCCAGTAATGGAACTGGGAGCCAATGAGTGCAGACTGGGTAAGGGCTCATGTTGGCAATGGCGACGACTATACCTGCGCACTCTGTGTGATATCTTCCCGTTGCTGTCTGTCTAGATGCCCAATAGCATCAGTGGCTTCTTTTTCACAAGGGTCATAAATGCCAGAACCATCTGAAGGCAGGAAACAAGGAAGATATGCAGAGGATTATCCCTTGTCGTCTCATAAGAGTTGTTGGCTGAGGGAACCAGGTGTGTTACCCCCCCGCACCCCATCCACACCCAGCTCTGGAAAACATACCGAGCTCGGTGACCCACTCGGCATCCAGCCCTTGACAGAAATAAATCATGTGTGTCTCAGAGCAACAAAGTCATGTGGGAGTGGGTCACCACTGGCCCCGGGTCCGCCCTGATTCACGGCTGCGGACCCGGCACAGGGCTGGATATGATGGTGCAAGAGGGTAGTCACATGCTTTGGCCCTAGCAGGGGGGCATGGAGCTGCTATGTCCCTAACCCAGTCAGTGGACCAGTGAGGCAGTGGCTATAAGGCCTTCATCCCTGTCCTTGTCCCTGTCCCTTGAAAGCCACAAGGCCCCAACCTGGCATTACGATGCCGGATGCCAGACACTCCAGCACTCTTCGCAGGGCTTCACCAGCACCCATTGGCCTATTGGCAGTGCCGATGGACTTCTCACATAGCAGCTCCAGAGGCTGAAAGGCAAGAGGGACAATGAGCTTCCAGCTGCAAAAGGGGATAGCCTAGGAAGCCCTATCACTGGATTAGAGGGGTTAGGGGCCCTGAGATTCAAAGTCCGCCAGTGATGAACGTGCAACATCAGACATCTAGGCAGGGGTTAGCGGACTTTCATAAAGGCAGCATGGGCAAAGGGACAGCACTGAGGACCTAAGAAGGTAATTAGGCTTTGTAACCACTCAAAAAAAAAAAAAAAAAAAAAAAAAAAAAGACAGGGTTTCTCTGTATAGCTTTGGAGCCTGTCCTAGAACTTGCTCTGTAGACCTGGCTGGCTTTAAATTAACAGAGATCCGCCTGCCTTTCCCTCCCGAGTACTGGGATTAAAGGTGTGCACTGCCACCACCCGGCCTGAAACAATATTCTTAATGACCTGTTGAGAAACAGACAGTTTTAAAATATAAAATAAGAAAGAAAAACAGGCAGTTGGCAGAATAGGCCGTAGGTCCCTGATGGGAGGCTGTTCAAGAACACTTGCACACCTACCCTTCCTTATATGACTAGTCACAGCAGACGGCCTAGGCAGTTCCCACCTCCTTTCCAAACTACTGCCACCCCACTCCATTCCACTCCACAACAGCCATCCAAATCAACAACCGTGAAGCTATGGAAAGGCTGAAAGTGCCTGTCTGGACAAACACTACCCCCAGCCCTAGTCACAAGGTGACTTACCCAGCCTCTGAGGGGACCCCAGGAGGGCACTCGGGTACACAAGTCCCTTAGGACACGGATGACAATGACGCATGACTTCAGCCCATTGGCTCTGGCCTAGAGGAAGAAAGCACAGGCTCTTCATACTCAGGGCACCATGGAGGACAGCAGGCAAACATGAACAACATAGTCTCATGGCACTGCTTTGCCAAGGGTAAACGGTTGCAAGGGTGCAAAGCCACCAAGTGTGTGGCCAGCACTGAGCTCCCTGTGTGTGTGGAAGCCTGTTACTCTTACTGCAAAGCAGCCCACTGCTCAGCATGAGCCTCCTCAGGGTTGTCAAGTCAAATGGATTTAGGCACGCTCCTTTAGCAGCTGCGCGTTGCAGGTGCTAACAAGATCGGCACGGTACAAAGTTATGGACACTTTATGGTCAAAGTTAGCCATGTTGTAAAGCTTAGGCATTCTCTACTGAAAGACAAAGAGAAGAACAAAATGCAAACCTGGAACCACTTGGCGTGTCGGAGGGACGCCAAGGCAGCAAGGCATTTCTGCCTGTCCAGAACGTCCGGGGGGTCGTTGACTGATAGCGTTTCTATTCATGGATGGAATAAGAAGACAAGGCACAGTTTGACCAAGGGGTTCTGTCAGGTGCAAAGGGGATGTGGCAGCTTCCTAAATAAAGGGCAGCTGAGTCTCCCATAATCTCAATTTGTGTCCACCCTGGACAAGGGAAGGAGAGGCTAAATTGCCATCAGCTCTGCTGAGAGAAGTCAGAAAAATTGGGAGGCCCTCTCCAAAATTTTAAACCACTGAAACAAAAACCAAAATCGAAAAAGAAAAGTTACTCTAAAAGGCACAATTGGTGGGGAAGGGAAAAGATAGGCCAACCCTATCTTCTAAGAGACCCATTCCCTTACTTTTTCCCCATAAATTAGCTAGGCTAGAATTTATAATAAGAAAAACAAAAATAAAAACAAAAAGGTGGGGGGAGTGGAAATGAACTCCCTCTCTGCTTCTCAAACAGGTATCCACCTGTATGTAGCACAGGGGACCACCTCCGCACACCAGGCGGGACTGCCCTAGCCCCAGGCCTTGACAGAGAGAGTCCTGTTGGTCAAAGGTCCAGCGTCCCTGAGTGGATAAGCTAAGAAGGTTTTCTTTGGTCATTGGCATCAGATACATGAGCCAAAGGAAAATCAACAAGTCAGCCTCCACTGCGGCACAGCTAGGAATGCTGTCGTTTGGCTCTGCCAGCTATCAGGGATTTGAATAAGGCCTGACAGCAGGCCCAGGAGGGCTGCAGGGAGACCATGAATTGTGGATGAGTGCAAAGACTGGGCTGGAAGACAGCACAATGGTTTAAAACCTTATCCAAAAGTCTGCTGCAGCTCCTGGACTCTATAAAGCTCAGAGTGCCACAGGCAGAGGCCAAACGAAAACACCCAGGCTGTGCTGCAGGGCTAGCTGATAGCTACTCCTACGTGCCGTTCATACAGAAGCCATCTGGTTGCTGCTAAGCAATGCAACACTGTAAGACTCCCGGGGACATACTCTTTTTCAGAGGGAAACAAGTTTAACAAAGAGGTTCAAAACAATTCAAGAAAATGAGAAACGAAATGGTGCACACCCTATGCAAAGTGCTACTCACTTTTAGTGCCACTGTTGAGTCAAACTCCCAAGAACACAGGGCCAAGGGGAGACATAAATTTAAGTATAGGCAGTCAGAGCTACACCGACACCCTCAAATCAAAGCACTCTAAAACTGAATAGCACATTTGAGCGAGAGGGAACACCAAGTCTGCAATGTTCTGCTGGCCTTTCTCAGCATCCCTACCTCCGGCTAATAGTTTCTCCATTTCTTCTCTGACAACAGGGGAGGTCAGGTGGATGGTCAAGGACAAAGGGGGTTCTTTTGTGTTTTTTATCAAAATCGCAGCATCATCCACAGACTGGAGTATTTCGTACTTGTCTTCTGTCACAGTCTGGAGGAGGAAAAGAAGGTAGCTTTCAAAACACTTTCTCTGTACAACAATCAACAATTCTGACAAACTCCATTGGGTCTCAGGTTGTGAATCTGAGGAGAACCTCTAATCCTGCAGTCAGAGAAGCTATTTCCACCAAGAATGTTAAAATGTAAAGGGAGGAGTCAAGTGTGGTGGCTCATACCTATAATCCCAGCAGTTAGAGACTAAGGTAGGGTAATGAGTTCAAAGCTAACACAGACCACAGAACAAGACTATCTCAAGGGCAGGGAGTGAGAGGAGCAGTGGCAGCCACTCCAGTGATTTAGGAGACTGAAGTCAGAGGATCACTTGAGCCCAGGAGGTTAGGGCAGGCCTGAGCAGCATAATGACACCAACAACACCCAAGGTTAATTTAAAAAAAAAAAAAACAACCAAACAAAAAAGAAACCAAATGTAATTCAAGCCTAAGATCAGAGTACATGCCTGAAATCCCAGCACTCTGAAGACAAAAGCTAGACAACACTGCTGCTTGAGGCCAGCCTGGTCTACAGAGCAAGCTCAAGGCAAGCCACAGCTACCTAGTGAAATCTAGGATAAAAATAAATAACTTCAACAGCTAGTCAACCAGGGAGGCACATACGTATAACCCTAGCTCTCAAGATGTTGAGGATGGAAACTGAACTCAAGGCCAGACTGAGATACAACAGAGAGCTCATATGGAAAAATAGGTCTTCTTTCTCATTTTCTAAGATAGGCTCTACCTGTCCAGTGGCTTTCCTGCCTCAGTCTCAGTGCTGGTTCAAGGCTGGGACTTCTAATTTCTAACATGGCCTTAACATGCACACACTTCAAGGACGCAGAACAAAGCCCATGTCACTGGATACTGTGTGAGACACCCAGTGTCCATGACAGAGGGTGATCCTCAGCCTGAACAAGTCCATGCAGGGAGGAGCAGTCGGCAGACCCCATGGGAGAGATGCACATGCATTTCTATAGCTTATAGCCAATGACAGACATGGGTGTATATGCGTCCTACAGAGAATAGCTATGGGTGCTCAACAGTCCAACCTCAACTTCTTTATAAGATAGCTTCTATTAACTGGAAAAAAAATCCAGTTTCTTAAACCATTTTTGTTAAAAGAAGGAAAGTGAGCCGGGCAGTGGTGGTGTATGCCTTTAAACCCAGTACAGGAGGCAGAGTTCAAGGCCAGCCTGGACTACAGAAATAGTTCCAGGACAGCTAGGGCTGTTACACAGAGAAACCCTGTCTCGAACAAGCAGAGAAAAAAAAATAAAAATAAAAGAGAGAGTAGGCTGGGCACTGGTGGTGCACGCCTTTAATCCCAGCACTCCGGAGACAGAGGCAGGCAGATCTCTGAGTTTGAGGCCAGTCTGTGCTACAGAGTGAGTTCCAGGACAGCCAGGGCTACACAGAGAAACCCTGTCTCAAAAAAGGAAAGTGCATATACTGTAGAGGGCAGATGCCCTGGAAATTGGTATGCAGATTTCTCGACCTCAGCATGGCTCACCTGCTGGATGAGGTAATTCTTACCTAAGAGAGGAGGCTGCCCTGTGTCACACAGGGTGTTCAGAGTATCTCTGGTAACCACTTCCCCCAATCTCAGATGGCCAAAAGTACCCAGGGAGGGTGGAGATGTCAGATGTCAAGAACCACTGACATAATGAGCATGGCCTAGTGTACATACTAGGGACAGACTTGGGCAGGCTCACTAAACACAGCTATAGGCACACGTTATAAGGCTCCTACCACATCCATTACAGAGCCTAGAAAATACAAAGCTCTTTCTTTCAAAATATTTACCAAAGTGCTCCACATAACAATCTTTAGAAAGAGACAATAGTAATCATGAAATCACAGCTATGAGAAACCATCTGAGGGTATGACCTTCAGGAGTTCCTCAAGTTTCTAACACTTGCTCTTTCAGATCTCAATTCATACCATTCTCTGAGCAAGTACCCAAAAAGCCTTATATTATGGAATGTTTACTGACACACAAAGATATTTTTCTTTGCAGAGTAACGTAACAATACTTAAAACCAACTTTGAATTTCTGTGCGTTTATCTTTTAAATTAAATCTAGAAGAACTTTTCTGGAAATGCAGAATACAATAATAAAGAATCTCTGCTGTCTCTGGTGGCCCCCACTGAGGACAAAATGGACAGATTATCAAAGCAAGTGGGAGAGATAGATACATATAAATCTGACCTGGGGTCTGGCTCAGTAAATGTTCTGTAAGTAAAGACTTATTTATGCAATATTTTAGTAATAGAGGAAATGATTTGATTGAGGGTTTTGGGTGTTTTTTTTTGGGGGGGGGGGGTCTTACTCTAGAGCCTAAGATGGACTTAAATACTCATAGTCTTCCTGACTCAGCATCTTAAATGCTGGGATTACAGGTATAAACCACCACGACCATACTGTTCCTCTTTCTCTCACTGAACTGCACCAGTCAGGTGAGTGGAGTTTTAAGTATGTCCAGGTCTGATCCATGAAGAATTAATGCCCTTCCTTCATCCCATCCGGCCTACACATGATATTTCTAGCCCAATAGTCTAGGCTTCACACATGAGGGCACAAGGCTTTCACTAACTAGCAGAACGGGCACCACTATAAACAGCAGATGCCACAGACCCTCAATGGCTCTGTGGTGACCTGCTTCTTATCAAGGTGAATACATGGCAAATACAAGAGATGCTCCCCAGCACATGGCACAGATGGGCCCTCTCTTCCTCTGATCATCTTCTCCACAAGTGCTAGAATCCCCTCTGGCATGGTAGTGTTGCTGGTGACTCACAGTGAGCTGGATGGCCAGGTTGTCAGCCACCTTGTCCAGGAGGGCGGTTGTGGGCTTCTCCTTACAGAGCAGAACCAGCTCCAGATCCAAGTCCCCCTTGAGCAGAAGACCCTTGGCTACCAGGCCGACCCGCATCACACCCCTCAGGGTCCTAGTCATGTGTTCCGCCTTCTGTTCCCTGTGAGACAGACAAAAGTCAGGCTCAATAGGAAGCCAACCTAGCCAGTATCCAAAGAGACTGGCACTTCTTAAGAGAGATGCTAGCCTAGCTGTGCCACATGGTGACAGAGACCTGCAACCCCAGCATTCAGGAAGCTGAGGCAGAGGACCTCTGTGATTTTGGTGATATAAAATAAGCTGAAGGTCAGCATAGGCTATCCCTTAAGATTCTGTCACAAAATAAAACAAACACACTACAAGAGCTAGGCAAAGCAGAGACAGAAGGCATCAGGAATTCAAGGGCAGCCTTTAATACACAGTGAGGAAGCAAGTCTGGGCTACATAAGACCCTGCCCGAAAAGACCTGCCTTCCTCAACAAACACACAGAGAGAGAAAGAGAAAAAGAGAGGGGAGAGAGGGAGAGAGAAAGCACCTGAGACTCACCCAGCCCCTTCTTTGCTCTCGTCGTCTGGGGGTGTGTCCATATTGTCTGCCTCGGTGAACTCATTGCCCTTCTCCTGCTCATCAATCCAGTCAGAGACAGCCTTGAGGGCTCGCTCAGTGTGAGATACCATATTCTGTACGGCCTCCAGCTCCTCTTGCGTTGGGTATACTGAAGAATGTTTTGCCATGACATGGCGATCATCATTCACAAAAATTCTCATGGGACGCTGGAAATGTGAAAACTACGCTAAAAATGATGCAAGGACAGGCAGCAGCCCACCCCTTACCATTTAGTACCATTCCATCCTTCACAGAAGATAGACTATGGGAATGTGGCCAAGGGCCTGAAAGGACACTCTCCACGCAACAGCAGAAATGGGGTACTTTACGTATCGCTCACTATACTACAGTAGTCCCCCCTTATCCGCGGGGTACACATTCCAAGACCCCAGTGGATGCCTTAAACCGCGGATAGCACCAAAACCAAAAAATGGTCTGAGTTTAACCTCTACGCACACTGGTATGGTAGTTTAATTGGTCAATCAGGCACAGGAAGGGCTTAGAAAGGACGGAATGTGAATGTGCTCTCCCTCCAAGTAGCTGATCATCCTACTCACCCTTCTTCTTCTTGTGATGAAGTGATGATGATACAATGCCTACGTGATGAGATGAAGTGAGGTGAATGACGCAGGCATCAGGATGGTGCAAAATTTAAAACTTAGCTATTTTTTCTTTCTGAAAATTTCCACTTAATATTTTCAGACTGCGGTGGACCGCAGGTAACTGAATCCGCGGGAAGCCAGAACACGGCTAAGGGGGGACTACTGTATTCACATCGTGACACGTAATTACTTTAGAAATTCAAATGTCTAAGAAAAAAATTCTAACAGTATCAAATACTTTGGGGACACGCTACAGGAATCTTTGTATATAAGTGAAGAAATAGTGTCTATGAGCAAAGAAAAAAACTGTCTTACCATTTTTCCTTCCTTTTCTCTTGTAGTGTCTGGAAATCAGTCCTGGTTTATCTTTTCAAATTGTGACAGCTTTCCTTGGTGTTACCAATACTTCAACTATCTATAAGACCAGAAAACCTTTTTAGTTTGAAATACTCCAGAGGCAGATAATCTCAGAAGCCATATACTTGGTTGTAAAGATGAAGAAGTTTGCTCATGAAGAGTCTGCTCACAGCAGGACACATCTGTCTTTCCAGGTAGCCAAGTCAAGGCACTAAATAACTCACTTCAATTTCCCTTCATATGAAAACAGCAGGCTTCCAGACACCTATCTGAATCCAGCCACACAGAGGCAGGCACCTGTTTCCCTGTGGTCCGGTTCATTTCTTCCTATACAGCATGCGGGGAGTTGGGAGGGGGGAGCACAGCAGAGAGGGGTATCAGGATTTTATGCGACCCAGGCTGGCCACAAAGTCCAAATCTTTCTGCTTCCACCTCCGAAGTGCCAGGAATACAGACACACACCCCTCAAACCGAGCTTGGACTCTTGCAATTCTATTTTATTTTTTTATTTTTTATTTTTTTTTGGTTTTTTCGAGACAGGGTTTCTCTGTGGTTTTGGAGCCTGTCCTGGAACTAGCTCTTGTAGACCAGGCTGGTCTCGAACTCACAGAGATCCGCCTGCCTCTGCCTCCCGAGTGCTGGGATTAAAGGCGTGCGCCACCACCGCCCGGCTGACTCTTGCAATTCTAGAACAGGGACTCATACAGGTCTATGTTCTACCACTGACTATAACCTTCAACTCCAAGTGTCAATCATGCAAGTGTGTGATATATGCACCCAAGTCTTTTGCCAGTTTTTCAAAACAGGGTTTCTCTGTAACTTTGGAGTTTGTCCTGAAACTTGATCTATAGACCAGGCTGGCCTCAAACTCAGAGATCTGCCTGCCTCCTGAGTGTTGGGATTAAAAACATGCATCACCACCACCCAGCTATCCACACAAGTCTTTGTGGGTACATAGGAAAGACGAGAGGGCTGTAGGTGTTCTGTCCTATCACTCCCCACTTTATCCCCTTGCAATAGAGCCTCTTACCAAACCTAGAACTACATTGGCACCCAGAAAGCCCCTGGTATCCTCCTGTCTCTCCCACCCACAGCACTAGGGTTATGTTTTTCATGAGGCCATGTCCAGCTTTTTACAAGGACACTGGGAATTCTTATTTCATTTATTTCTTTTGATTTTGGTTTTCGAGACAGAGTTTCTCTGTGTAGCTTTGAAGTCTAGCTTCAAACTCACAGAGATTCACCTGCCCCTGCCTCACCAGTGCTGGAATTAAAGGTATGCAGCAACATTGCCTGGCAACACTGGGAATTCTAACTCAGGTCTTCGCAAGCATTCCTATTCATCAGGCCATCTCCCCAATCCCAGGGTTGGTTTTTCAAGGCAGGATCTCCTATAGCTCAAGCTGGCCTCAAACTTGCTATACAGGGAAGATGACCTTCAATAACCGATTCTCCTCTAGCCCTACCTACCTCATAGGCATTTGCCACAGAAAGATTTTACTTAGTCTGTAGTTCTGGGCTCAACCAGAGAGACTCTTGCTCAGAGTTAAGTACATGCTCATTTACTGGCTATACTCCAACACCAAAGCATGCTGGGCTTTACAAATGAACTAGAGCAGAAAGTGAAACAGGTTGCTCAGTAGTACAGCATGTGCTTAACACACTGCAGGCACTGAATGTTGTCCTCAGAACTAAAAATGAAAACTCAAAACATAATGTAAGCTGGGAATGGTGGCACACATAAGTGATCCAGTCAAGATGTCTGGAGTTCAAGGACAGAAGGAGTTACATAACAACCCCTGGCAAAAACAAAAACAAACAAATAAAAAAAACCACAAAGGAGGGCTGGCAACATGGGTTGATGGGCTGCCACTAAGCCTCATGACCTGAGTTTAAACCCGAGGGCCCACACAGTGAAAGGATAGATCCATAGGTTGTCCCGACCAAATGTATGCCACAGCACATCCCTCTCCTGTGCAAATAAATGCAATAAAAAATTCTGAAACATCAGTTAGGTGATGGTGGTCACACCTTTATTCCCAGCACTCAGAAGGCAGAGGCAGGCAGCTCTCTGAGTTTGAGGCCCAGTCTGGTCTACAAAGCAAGTTCCAGGACAGCCAGGTTTGTTACACACCCCAAACAAACAAACAACAACAACAACGAAAAAAAAAAAACCAGCCCTATCTCAAAAAAACAAAGCAGTAAAACTCAAAGAAGTAAAACATAAGATTAACAAGCTACCAGAAAGTGTTATAAGTAGAAATGTTCATCAAAATATGAGGGCTAGGGGGCTGGAGAGATGGCTCAGAGGTTAAGAGTGCCTGCTCTTCCAAAGGTCCTGAGTTCAATTCCCAGCAACCACATGGTGGCTCACAGCCATCTGTAATAGGGCCTGGTGCCCTCTTCTGGCCATCAGGTATACACACAGATAGAATATCGTATACATAATAAATAAATAAATATTTAAAAAAAATATGAGGGCTACTCTTGTATAATCCTAGCAGTTGGTGTAAGATAGAGGCTAGTCTACAGAGCAAATTCCGGGACAGCCAAGGTTACACAAAGAAACGCTGTCTCAAAAAACAGGAAGGAGAAAGAAAACTGCTTGTTAGAAATGGAAGTACTCCTTGTAGCCCTGTATTCAAGAAGCAGAAGCAAGTGGTGAAAAAGTTGAGGCCAGCCTAGGCTACCCAGCAAAACTCTGTCTCAATAAATAGACAGGACAGGTAATGGCACTTCCTAAGCAAGTATGAACACCAGAGACGAATCCCTAACACTCATGCAAGGAAGTCTGCAAACACAGCAATGTGTTGGTCAGAGATAGGAGGATGGCTGCAGCATTCTGCTGACAGTGTAGCTCCAGATTCAGTGACTGAGCTTGAGTTAAAGGTCTTAAGGTCTCTGGACTGCCAGAGCAAGACACATACAATCCTCCTCTGGCCTCCTCTCCCCTCACACACACAGATACACAAAGAAATCAAACATGCACACATATGCATACAAATAGACCAAAATATCAACTCTAGGTGTTTGAAGAAGAAAAAAGGTAGGAGCACTGACCCTAAGGACACTACAGTGATAGACAAAAGGTCCTAAAGAGCTTCTGTCACATAGGAAAGGAGAGCTCTCAGCTTTGTTTGCAGAGAGCCTGGGTTGATGCAGACTCCTAACCAGTCCAAGCACTGAAGATAAGTGATTATTGAGTGTCTGACCCTAAATAGATCACAAGAGAGGACAGAGAGACAGTAAGAGCTGGATGTGGTAGGAGTGCTGTGAAAGCATGTCTTCTGGATGGCATGCACAGTACTCATGAGCCAGTCGCTGGAGCTAACTGGACAAGAGCTACACTATACCATGGACGAAGGAGGCGCTTATGAGGCTGCATGCACCCTTGCTGCGGAACTTCTGGTAGTTAACAGTTGCTGACGGAGACAATCATTTTCTTCAATGATACATGCCCATGCTCTAGTATGAAACAAGCCCTCCCCACCATCACCACACAATACACACTTACACAAGCAACCCTAATTAAAGATAATGGTTACAAAACAACAAATAAAACCTAGGGCAAGAGGAAACTTGTTGAAAGGAATTTAGCAGGAATATGATAATGTGATGAGGGCAGTGAGACTAATCAAAATATATTATATACATGTACATAAATGTTGAAGGAAATTTCTAAAAGGAGGACCAGCAAGATGGCTCAAGGGGTAAGGGCACTGACAACCAATTCCTCCCCTAAGCGATCCTCTGAACCTCCTCAGGCATATCATGGCATGTGTCTACCCCCAAGCAATAAAAAGTGAACACAATTAAAAGACAATTAAAAGACAATTAAAAGTAACATTTGGAAAAGTTAAAAGGTAGAAACGAGTGCATCAAATAGACACCCCCATGGAATCTGGAAAAGTTAAGTCACCCAAATGTGTAACACAGTCTGCAGGGCAAATGAAGCTATACAATGACCCTCTAAATAACACGCAAACTGCAACATACTCAAGTCCTGCACTACGAATAGCCTGTCCAGTTTGCAATGTTGACTAGTGTCAACAGCTGAGCCCCTCCACAGCACTCTGTGCTCCATCACACCAGTGAGGCCCTCCATCCACACTGTTACAGCAAACACTGTAGAGGCACAACTCTCGAGAGGCATAAGGTACAAGGACAAACTGCCAAGACTGGCCAAAGAGACATTCCCAAAAGGCTGCAGGACTGCCCACCAAATACTGCCAAGTTAGAAAGTTAAACTAACACCAGGGTGGTACTCGACAATGTTGAAGAGGTGGCTACCAGGAAAGAGGAGCAGAAAGGCTTCACAGGAACACAGTAGGGAAAGAGAAGAGTGTGGGAGTATGGGATGCTAAGAGTTAGGAGACCAAGCCTAGGCTGTAACTGCTCCTAAGCAGCCACAGATGGAAGAAACCACAACCCTGTGAGTTCAAAGTTGTTTGTCTGGCTTTCAACTTTCTATGGAGCTTCCTTCTTATACCTGCAGCACAGAGAGACCTCTGTACTGTCCCAAAAACCAAGCAGATCAGCCTACAAGAGCCATGAAGCCCAAGTCCCTCTGACCCCTAAAGTGGCAACAGCACTACTCCGAATAGTTACTGTCACCAGCTAATCCAAGTTATTTCCACATCAAGGAAGATTGACTGGCACTCAACTAGAAGTCAGCTATCCATAGCTGTGCTGAAAAAGGACACCTATGCACACCTTTAAGTTCAGCACCTGGTAGGTAGAGGCATGATCAGGATCAGGATCCTGTTTGAGGCAGGCCTAGGTTAAGAGAAAATTTATATCAAAAACCAATACTTAAGATTGGGAGAAACAGCCGGGCAGTGGTGGCTCACACCTTTAATCCCAACACTCAAGAGGCAGAGAGGCAGGCAGATCTCTGTGAGTTCAAGGCCAGCCTGGTCTACAAGAGCTAGTTCCAGAGTTCCAGGTCAGGCTCCAAAGCTACAGAGAAACCCTGTCTCGAAAAACCAAAGAGTTGGAGAAACAGCTTTGTAGTTAAGAGCACTGGTGGATCTTGTAGAGGACTGGAGCTCAGCTCCC